AAATCTTCAGTAAATAGAACTGTAAACAGATTGCTGCATATACTCAGTGAGTCCACATTGGGTTTAAGAACATACAATAATTCTCCACAATAACATTCCTTCTCAAAGTTTTACAGTTCGTAAGGGATAATGTGATTCACTTTCTGCTACACACACCTACACACACACACACACACACACACGCACACAACAAGATTTACATATTACTGGAAAAGAGGAATGGATATACAATCTTCTCCTTCAAGAGAGTAGGTCAGAAAAGGAAGTAAAAACAGAGAATAGAGAACATGAATTGTTCCTCCCTGGATTGTTCACAATTGTGCCACTACTTTCATAAAAATCTCAGTTTTTCTACTACCGCCAGACTGAAAAACACAGATAAGAAACTGTGTCACTCACTCAGCATTGTGTGGCAGAAATGCCTAGGCCTCAGAGTCAAACTTTGGTTCATATTCTTGTCCTGACACTTATCAGCTGTAGAAAAACCTTGAACAAGACACTTAGCCTCACTGTGACTCACTTTCTTTATCTGTAAATAGCGGACAACCACTTCTGCATGGAGTTTTCTAAAGATTAATGAAACAGTATTTGTAAAATGCTTGCACACATTCTGTAATTCCATGCCTGCCATTCCCACCAAAACCTACCGATTTCTAGGGGTAGATGTGTGGATAGCTCAGACCCTTCTGATACTTCGGAAATTATACCAATTCTGGAAAAGGTCAAGATGGGCTTGTCTAATATTCCTTTCTGGTTTCTTCTGTTTCACAGATTAGAAAGTAGTTTTGAAGGGATTGCAATGGCTTATTGGTAAGAGATATCCATAGACTTGTTTAATTCAAAGAGACTATGCTTTATGGTGTTCAGTAAAGGAGAAAGGGGAGCACTAGCAGCAACCACCAGAGATAGAACAAGTCCTGCCCCACTTTACAGAAAATATACTAGAAGATACCTACTGAGTAATTTGCGGTTGGCAAAGAATGAAAGGCAATTAATTTTTAAACAATTTTTATTAATATTAAATCAATATTATTAAAAAATTAATGTCATTGATTTTTATTAATCATTTTAAAATAATTTTATTAATAATATAAAGTGATTTTTTAATAATATTCTATTATTTAAAAATTTTGAAGTAGGTGAATGTTCTGTTGGCCTCCATTTTAATTATGATGCTTTATTTTTTGCTATTTTTTCATCTTGGGTATTCATACCATTCTCGTGGATGTCCTACCCTAGTGCCCAAGACTTCTGGTCAATCACTTCAGCCTTTTCTAGAAACTCTCGCCCTCTGGCAAGGCAGGACTGCTATGCACAGGAGGGTTTTCAAAGTTTATGGAAGCATTATGTGGACGGTGCTCTGCAAGTTGTGGAACAGGGGGAAAAAACGGGGTGAAAACATCTCTATTGTCATCTACTTACTTAGGAAGTTTCAGATAGTTAAATCCCACTTCAGTTCACAAATAACTGAAATAGTGTGTCTTCGACTAGTCTTTCATGCAAAATAATGGACTTTTCATGTTCCAAATGGTGATTTTTGTGATACACCAAGGTGGATTCTTGGTAAATCTAAACTAGGGTGATCTAAGCAGGAAGTATATTTCACATATCTGGCTCCCATTTTACTATGTATACTCATAAGAGAAGGGAACATGTTTAAGTCTTCATGTTCATCTAATTAAATACATCTAACAAATGGAGAATGGCACTCAGCTTCATAGCTACAGAGACGGGACGTATTTACTCTGCTCAGTTACAAACCCTGAGTTCGTCTAGTACTTGAGCTTTGTAAACCCATCATTTATTTGTTGCTAAAGTCACCTAACAATGGGTGTCCATCTCATCAGCACTCAACGTTGTCCAAACACTCCTGTGAATTGTTTTTTTTCCCCAGTTAAATAATCCACAGGTTCTCTATCACTAAGAAACAATTCCTTTGTTCTCAATCTCTCCTTCCTTCTGTTTGGCTAAGCACCTGGGGAGATTGTTTCTGGTGCAATTGATGCCGGGGTTCTTGTTCACAAAAACCGAAGAATGAGCTCCACAAACACTTAAAGTAGGAGAGTAAGGTACAGGCTTTTATTTAGAGATAAAGTGAAAGGACAGAGCTCCCGGCTCATGCCAGGAGGGGACAAGACAGTCCAGGGGTGCTACATAGTCTAGAGGTTTTATAGGCAGGTGAGGATTTTTTGAGAACATGAAAAAAAAGCTTAGGGATATGGACTTGTTAAGTGGTCCCAGAATATTTAGAATTAACACAAGCAACTTCCTGCTCTGATGATTTCTTCCTGAGATACCAACATCTTGGCCTGGGGGCATATGAAACAAGGCCACCTGCCCAGCCCCCAAGGTTGGCTGAGGTATTGTTTGCTGAAGAGTAAGTTAGGAATTTCTAACTTCTTAACTTCTTGGGTATTAAAATGTAATCTTATCTTTAAGGTGAAATCCTTCTTGCCTTCTACTGTGTTGTTTATGGCTGGGCCTGCATGCTAAATTAGTTGCCCAGTTTGCAAATCATCTCATCAGATCTGACTGAGAAAGAGAGCATATAGGCCTGGGTCTTTTAGCATGCTAAAGTGAATCTTACACATGATTATAAATGATTAGCATAATAAAAACATGTGCTACTCTTCTTTATCTAGGGAATATTAACTGATCTCACTGAAGAATGACTCTAACAGAGTTTTGGTAGGGGGTTTCCTTACATTGCTCTGACTATAAATATCCTGCCTTACTTTTTCGAGAGGCCCTCACCCCGCCCTGACTACACGCACAGTGGGAACGGTCGTATCGCCAGGTCGCAGTACACCTTCCGAGAGAGCAGAAACGTCGCGCTCTGCTCCCAAGGCGGTGTTGAGTCGCTTCCCCAGGTCTTCACCGTATTAACACTGCGCATCTCCTTCACTCTCCGCTTTTGGAAAATTTCCAGGCAGAGTCTGTGTTTACGTCAGCAAGACTGAATCAAAACACCACTGCTGGGGTTTTTAAACAGGCTCTGAAACACATTCCTGAGCTCAGCTCAACCTGGGTTAGTAGGAGGCCTTCCAGTAAATGTTACTTTGCTTTGTCATTCTACATTATTGCAGAGGGGGCAGTGATTTCCTTTTAGCTCATCTCTCAAGCTATTTTGCTATTTTTCCTATATTTCTGCCAGGACCTTGGCTAATAAAGCCTTCCATTATTATCCAATTGTCTTTGAATTTCTTATCCATAAAGATCCTGCTTGCTTAGGTAAGTTAACTTTTTTCCCTTTGGCTTTCATATCATAAAAATAACGTCATTTGTTTATATTTTCAAATCTAAACACAAGTGTTCTCTTGTTTAACTTACCTTTGGTTAGCCCAGTTGCTATATATTTAATTATTAATCTTGGCTTAGAGTTTCACAAGGGCCTTACAAAGTTGGTAAAAGAACCTGCACGGAGGGGGTTCGGCAGGGGGGAGGTATATATGCAGAGCTAGAGGGGCTAGCATCCGAAACCAGAGAATATGAAACTTTAAAGCAATTTCTAAATAGAATGCGATTCCTTATTACTTACAACATTTAAAGTTAAAAGATAGATCCCTATTAGTAATCATCTACAAAGCACAAATGTGAAAAATTATTTTCACAAATGAGCACATGAACTATTCCCACATACTAGACACTATGATGGAAATATCCCCTATCACCGACTTTGGTTTTGCTTACCACACTCTGAAACTAAACACACACACATACACACACAAAACAAAAAATAAACACAATGCTAACCCTGCCCCACACATTATACAAGAAAAGCAGTATTTCTTCTAAGCAGGCTTTCTCCCCACACTCCCCACTCTTAAAGCTCAGGGGTCAGAGCAGACTTTACCTTTGATTATAAACTATACTAGTAAGACAACTTAAAAACAATAAATAAATTATAAATATACTTGAAAAATAAAAGATGACACTACTTAAATAAGAACCCCAAACGTGCTGAAACAATTTTTAATCTAATTTAAAGGAAACGAAATTCAAATAAACAACAAAACCCCTTTCCTAACACTTCCGTTTGCCTCTGAAAGATAACACAAATTGTAAGAACAGGACTAAGAAGAAAACAAAAGACAATTAAGGAGCCATTACCAAAGTGGCTATATGGATACCAGCGCTCTAATTAAATATGAATGGAGTTTAATAGGTATTATGGAAACGTTTCTGGGAAGAGCAAGCATTTGTGTTTGTAGACCTTCTGCTTGCTATTCATTAGGTTAATCCTTGGTTTTGATTTCTCCAATTTCTTGAAGATGCAAAAGAGAGATAGGGGCCAGGAAAAGATGAGAAGAAATGCACAGATGCAGGTCACACAAATCTCAGGCAGAATGTGTTTCTGCAAGGTAACACACAATGAGAACTCTCTCCCTATTCACCTGTTTTCTCTAGGACTAGGGCAGTAAACACAGCCATTTCTGGTTGGCACCCTGTGAAAATCAGAGGAAAGGCTTGTGAGCCTGACCAGAGAAATACACGAATTCCATCAAAGGGTGGAAGCGCTTGCTTGGGTAAGGGAGTATACCTCAGTAGATGTATCTAAAATCAGATGATTATCTGGAAAACTTGGATTACACAGTTTAAAGGCTTCTGCTCAAAAACAAAAATTGGAAAAAAAAGATCTCTAAGTCATTCATTTTATGCATCTATTAATTAATGATCCCATTTTAACTACTTTCCCCATATTAGTAACAGGGCTTATCTACTTTCCTTCCGCATTTCAACTTTAAAAACTTACATTCAGTAACAAAAACTTCTTTGAAAGGTTAGAAGATTTATAGTTGACTATCACTTTACATAATGTATCTATAACCTACAAATAAAACTATGCAATATTGCAGATATGCACTCACTTAAAAATGGATTTTTTAAAAAAGCTATAGCAACTATTTGCTCTCTTCTTTCCTATTTTAAATAAAAGAACCAGTCCGCAGAAAGCAGCCCAGAGCCGAAGTAATTGATTTAGAAAGTGCTCTGAACCTTACCTTACAGCAGTTAAACGTCTTAAGGATGATATTCATAAGAGAGAAGCACAAAACATCTGTGTGACTGTGTGTTCTCCTGGCCCAGAGTTGGGAAGGCCACCCTGAGCCCACATCCACCGGCTCCCAGCTCCACAGCTTGCACCCGCTGAACAGGGGCTCCCCCTCGGGGATAGGACAGTGCTGGCTGCCGCCAACAGCCCTGCGAGGCCAGAGAAACAAAGGGCCTTGGAGTTTCTTGTCTAAGTGGAGGGCTAATTCCCACTGCATAGTAGCTATTTAAAGAGGTGGTGCCTGCAGGACAAACGCTGCCTCTGAGCCTTCCTGTTTGTGTTACCAGCTCAAATTTTCATCCACTTCCTAAGGAAGACTGCAGAGCATAATCAGCCTTGAGAAGGCTGAGATTTGTGAAAACCCATGCAGTGTGAAAGGACAGTTTTTAATGACAGTTTCTCCCTTTCCTTCTGTTCTCCACCAGGCAGATAAGAGGTTTTATCAAAAGTAGTTTTCAATTCAGAAGCAAAAGCTGTAACTGTAGGGATTTGGTAAAAGGTTTTCTACTCCTGAAAGATTTTTAACCTAAAATCGAAATGCAGGAAAGAAAGAATTTTTGGATAATATGAAACATACCCTGTAATAATGCAGAGAAAAACCACGTGACCCATGTGACTTCAGGTCAGAGGCACAGTTTTTATTTGCAAAACCTTTGCCATTTTCTAGCTTTAGGTAAAGAAATTCTACCCAGTCTCTTTGGGCCCCAGTTTCTTCATCTGAAGAAAAGCGACTAAGAATATATACTTTACGTGTTTAGGTTACTATGCCTAAGATGACTGTAGATGACTCCATACTTTGCCCTATAGGAAAGTCAGATCATGCTGGCATTATGTCGTGGGATCCCATTTCCCAGCTGCCATTACAAAATATTGGACAATACATGTGCTCTCCTTTCCAAGATTATATTATATTTGCATTTGTTTGCTTATGTATTGCCTTACTTCCCCATTGACACCCAGGTTGCAGGAGGGCCAGGGACCTCACTGGTAATGTTGCTTTAACAACACTTCCAGTACCAAGAACAGTTCTTGGCCCATATTAACATGCAATAAATAAATGGATAGATGCATAATTTCAGATAAAATCACCCATAATGTTCCACACACAGTAAGCCCGTAACAAATACTTCATTGAATTAGTGAGTGAGCCACAACTTTTTCTATATAAAAACATTCCAGGCAAATACAATGTACTAGAATCTTAAGACAAGTTGGACCTCTTAAAAACATTTGAGATAAATATGACTATGTGTTTTGTTAGATCACCTTGTTCAATTTTTAAGATAGTTCATCTACACAAACTCCTTACAGCATGGATATTAGGAACAATATTCAATATAAATTAATTCACTGAAAAAAAGTTTGGCTTAGTTTAGAATGTACCTAAAATCCTTTCTCAGCCTGTTTCTGTTTAAAATGGAAACTTCCTTTTCTCTACTGTCCTTTAAGTGCCAGCTTGCTGGCACTGGGATTTGATAAGGACTCATTGATTTTTTTTTTTCTAAGAACATTACCCAGACAAGATGGATAGAGATGGGTGGTCCCTTGTGGCTGTTATGATCCAACTACTCATGTTTAATATAACATAACAATGTGCCAGGAGACAGGATAGTCTGAGGATCTGAAACAACTGATTTAGTTTTGAGCCTTCACATCATTGCCTGCAGTTCAGGCAAACTCAGGCCACTAGAGACTAAAAATCTGCTCTTTAATCTGATGTGTAAAGAAGAAAGAGACTTTAGTGGATATTTGTCCATTTTATAAAATTACTAAGAAAGGAAGATCCTGAATCTTAAAAGATCATGTGAAACATAATTTACTTCTAATGATTTTTCTTGTTTCACTTGAGAAATAGGACCTTCTATGTCTCTTCCTTTCCCATCTGCCCTCTCTCTCGGCTTCCCACTTTACAAACAGAACAGGAGCTCTCCAACTACAGATTTTTTCACAAGTGTTAACAATGGAAGATAAAGATTTCAAGTTGCTGACTCTGAATGAAGTCATTTTACTTCCAAAATATAAGGAAGCATTTCATAATCATTGAACCTGAAAGCTTTATAGCTTTTGGCCAACAAAAAAGAATTTCTGAAGAACAAGAGAATGCTGGTCAAATAAAAACAGAATTTATTGCCTTTATAAGTATTTATTCTGTTTTTCTGAGCTCAAAGTTTCAGACATTGTAACAATGTTGTTCTGCACATTCCTTCTCCTCTTGTTCAGCTTCCCCAGTGCTGGAGGCATTTTTAAGTGAATAACTTAAGATTCTAAAGAGGTTTCTGAGAGAGATTTTTGACAGCTACCAGCCACAAGACTTTCTCGCCTTCCACTGTAGCCTCTGGCCTGACAAATACCAGTCTACACAGAGCTTGTGAGTTCAACTAGGATTATCAGATGTGGTTTAAATGCCTCTCTCAGAACATGCACATTTGACCCTGGAGGAGGGGAAATGAACTGTGGAAACTGCCATTCCATTGAGTTTCTTTTTCACTTAATGTAAGAACCCTTGGAAGCACCCCTCCAGAAGCTCTGACATCCTCCCCTAGGGATGCTGACTTCCTGTCCAATGGCTTTGGTCAAGATATCACTGTGAATTTGGTCAGCAAATTAAAAGGTGACTTCAAGTTACTGATTCCAGGGTCTGGTTAAGCTCCTCCTATCGTTATTTGACCATGTATCTTATTTTAATAAACGTTTACCTAATGCTACAGAAAACATAAAAATCAGTCTCATAAGGGAAGGTAACTTACAGGCATGACTAAAAGGAGTAAATATCATAGACCACGTTATGTCAAAGTCTGCCATTATTTAGGTATGTACAATGCACAACAGAATAATAATGAATTTTTCCTTTTTGCCATCTGTTGTTTTACATGACAGCTGATTTCCTGTCTCTAGCAACTCTGATTTGTTAGGAATAAAATAAGTAAAGCAAAGTTATATTACAAGATTTATCTCATTAATAGGGAAGTAATTTGATAGCAAGTCAATTCTAAGAGGTGAGGGCTATTGCTTTCCCATAATGAGAAATGAAGGAGATAGTATTTCTCCCTCCTTTTATCCCTCACAACTTGCTACAGGCAAGGGCTCTGCTAAGTGCTTTGAAGACACAAGATGAGTAAGCATTTGGTGCCTCTTCTCAGTTCAGGAACTGGCAAGACAAGTCCAGAAGTATAATGCAAATGTAGCCTAACACCAAGAATGCAGGGCACGAGGTGAGAAGAACATAGGCTCAACTGTCTTTGCCACTTCCACACTGTGTGACCACGGGCACATTTCTTAGTCCTGCTAAGCCTTGTTTTCCCTGTGAATAAAACAGATCATAATAGTACCTGACTCCCTAGGTCAAGGTGAAAATTAGATGATTTTATGAATACAGATCCTTAACAGAGTGCCTGACTTTTAGAAGTCCTCAATAAATAAACAGCACTGATGCAGAAGAAAAAGATTAAAAGAAATACTTAAATTGCCATGGACATTCAAAGGAGAAGAAAATTTCACCCATAAATAAAGTAAGGGATACAGAATTTTTCAGCCAAGAAACGCTTTCTTGGAATACTCTGAATTTCCTTGACTTATATCCCTTAAGTGTGAAAGAAGATTGGAGTAAGAAGAGGTGTTACAGCCACCCCTCCTCTCCCTGTTGTCATACTCCCTTCTTTTCTGGGATACCCAACCATGGTCCTCTGTCAATGTCAGCCTGTGCCAATCCAGGGCACAGGAAATGGGCTTAGAGTCTCTTTTCTCCTTCCCCCAAAGTTGCTTCTCTCAGTAACAGAGATAGTCTCAAAGGCTACCTTAATATTTAGGAGAATATTCATAAAAACTAAAACTTGTATTGCTGTTCACAATGGATTAACTGGAACTAGATTGGCCTTACCACCTTCAACAATTGGAAAACTAGATTAAAAAAAAAATGTGAAAAAACTGTTTACAAGTGTTCAACAAAAGGAAGCACAAGATGTGATCCTTGAGAGAAGGGGAACAACCAATGTGAATCTTAGAATTATCCTAGTTTTCAGCCTGGATGCATATTCCAGACCAGCAGTGAATACAGAAACCCAAGAACACAGAACAGAGGTCACAGAGGCTAAGGCAGATGGATTTTCTAGGAAAAGTACTAGAGAGGAAGGAGCTATACAGACAAAGAGCTGACAAAATCCTGTAAGGTTCTCCTTGAGTCTGTTGCTGAATAGTAAGTTATACATGCTCAGGGTCAACTTTACAATGTGGGGCAAGAAACAAATGAGCAGATTACAGATCATGCAAAGAGCTAAGAGACAGGGTTTTTTACTAGACAGAATTCAAAGTCTTTGTTGAGCACCTACAGCTTTAGGTCACAACTCCAGATAGTATGACACTTTAAAGTATCAATTTAGCAGTAGGGCTAAGTCAGCCCTGGAGGAAAGACTACTTCAGATCTGCCCTAACACACCTTTTAGGAGAAAGACAACAAAAATTTGCACTGAACAAACAAAAACAAGTAACAAATCTAGCATTCAATAAAAATTACTACACATGCAAAGAAGGAGGAAAATGAGACAGAAATGGACTCAGAAATGACACAGCTGAGGAATTAATACCCAATTATAAATATGCTCCATGTACTTAAGGATTTAAAAGAAAGATATGAGACTATGGAAATGTAAACTACTTGAAATAAAAAAAATTGGAAATGAAATATTTGAAAATTTTGAAATGACTAATTTGATATTCATTTGAAACAAAAATATTAAATGAAAAATCTTAATTTTTTTGAAATATCTGAAATGAAATTTGAAATATTTAAAATGGAAAACACGTTAGATGAGGTTATGGTTATCAGGACACTGACTGACTATAAAAGAACCAATCAGTAAATCTGAAGAGAATACAGAAAATACTTAAGCTGAAAGAGAGAAAAAAGACTGAAAAAACCAATAGCGCATTGGGGACTTGTGGGGCAGTAACAATAAGTCTACATACGTGTTGGAGTCCTGGGATAAGGCTCAGGGGTAAAAATAATAATGAAAGTAGGATTTGAATTTTTCCAGATTTGATGAAAACAAAAAACCAGAAATCCAAAAACTCAATGAACCCCAACAAAGATAATACAGAGAAACCTACAGCCAGGTATACATATTATGATGCAATAGCTGAAAACTAGAGATAAA